TGCCTTTTCACCGATTTTAGAACAGGCTCTAAGGAAGATTCTCCACAAAATACTCAAAGCAATATTATGCATTCTACAGCAAACCAACATATTCAATAGCTAAATAATGGACAAACTGCACGAGTACAAAGTTTGGAAAACTGCAAAATAGTACTGGCATAGAGTTTCTTTCTGAGATCTCAAAAATGAAATGAATCTTTTATTATAGTATCTTTTATAAATTCTTTGAGAGCAGGAGACTATTTTGTACATCTTCATACCCCTCCCAGTGTCTAGACACTAGGTTCTCCAATATTTGTTGATATGACTGTAAATTTTCATCTCAGTGAAGTCATTTGATTTCATGGCATCTGGAAGCTAAGCCATATGTCTTAGACACAATGTGATGACAGTTTCAGCTAACTGATCTAACTGAAAAACCAAAGAGACCTAATCTATGCTAGAAAATTTACACTATTCTTTTGCAGATCAGGAAGTGATTTAACATAGGGAAAAGAGCATTAACATAAGAAAAATTTAACATAGGGAAAAATAATTATAAAATAAATAAACAGCTGATGTATTATGAATCATATTCAGGACAGCCCTACTAACCACGATAACAAATGGACTCTTAAGACTAAGCTATGTTGGATAAACATCCTGAGTATCTCTAATCTTCTCAAACATTATGGTTAAAAAAAAAATTGCTACCATCTATGGTTTTCAATAGCCAGTCATTCACATGAACATAGATGAAAAATTGAATTATGCAGCTATGTCATCCAAATGCAGACAGACAGGTTTGGCATTTTTGTTGTAGACAGTGCAAAACTTCCGGAGTCATGTCAAGGTCCCTGGAGAATTTCTTACATGACATTACACTGACCTTAAAGTGTAAACTTTGCAAATACGGTTTTATTGTTTTTGTACGAACCACAGGATTGCCTGGAAAGGCAGCATATTCAGTTGTAGTGAACACCTGCTGGACTGTTGGATTTTTGCTACAGTACATATATGATTTTGGCATATATGACTGCCACAGTATGGACAGGATATTTTTTTAAGTAATAATAAAAATGGCATCTAGCAGTAGTACGTCCTCAGTTTTTTTTTGTGCCCTCTCTGAGGCTCGAACGTCCTCAGTTTTGTTTACACAAAAACACAAAATTTAGAGGTAGCTGCAGATGATTTTTCATAATTTAATTAACCCAAAGAGATACTATAATTCAGCTAAACTTCTACCAAGCCATTCTTCAGAAAACAGTTTTCTAAATCTAAATGTCACAATGTTCCTATTTGGTTTGAGTTAGCAAAACAAAATATAAACAAATAAAAAAGAATCACAGTCCCAATTTGTGTACTAAATGAAAATGCAATAGGATTATACAAGACAGAGATTTTCATTTTAGTACCTCAATAAACATAAAGAGGGATTTGAAACTCCCTACTTCCGCTTTCTCAGTGCATACTGCCTGCCCTTCCTCCTCAAGACAAGCACTTACTTTGCTGTCAAAAACATATCAAGAATTTTTAAAAGTATGTCAGTTCAAAAATAAAATGCACAATCACATTGTTTTACAGAAACTTTTTTTAACAAGAGGTAACATGTAAAAATAACCTTATTTTTTAAAAAAGAGTTATTTTACAGCAGGCTGTCTTGTGCAGTTATCAACCAGTTATAGAATAAGGAGAACAGGAAAGTTTTGTAAAGAAAACTGGGAGAAAGAGGCCTTGTGGTTCAAAACAAACAGAAGAGAGAGGACTATGGGACACAATACACCACCGTGAAAGATCAGTCAGCATTCCTTTTAATCAGACAGGCTTGAGAGATGGGAAGACACCGTGTCCCCCGTCTCTGGCTCAAATCACTGGAAACTAATTACGAGTTGGAACTAAGAAAGGTAAATAGAAAAAACTCTGGAGTCAGATGACAGACAGTACCACCTCCCTAGCTATGATCTAACTGATCTCGCTTGATCTCAACATAAAATGGAGATACTCACCTTCTTTTCAAAGTTGTTGAAAGGATTAAAGATAATATACATAGAAATAAATATGGATGTATTGAAATGTCTGAAGAAATATTTACTAATATATTAACAGTGGTTATTTTTGGCTAGCAGATTTATGAGTATATATCTTGTTTTCTTCATGTTTATCTGTATTTTCTAATTTTCATACAATTAGTAACTACTACTTATATAAGTGATGCATGTAAGTCACTTAGCACAGTGCTGGCACACACACTGGCTCAAAAATGGTTGCTATCATCATTATTAATACAAAAAAATAAAGCAAGATAGCTTCTGCCCTTTCTTCTTGTTTCTGGATGCCTCTCTATGGAAGAAAAGTCATAAAACCAAGTTGATTCCAACACACAAGGTCCACAGCAGATTTCTCACTCTTCAGCCAAAGGAAAGGTCACAGCCTAGAGGAGTGGATCTTTATGTATTTACGACTTAGTGTTGGAAAGAGCTGCCTAGCCATGGGAAAACTCAGCTAATGAGATGATTTAGCAAAGCAAATCAAAATGAAATTTGTCCTGGTCGTACAATAAATTAATACATAAAATACCACCCACCTTCCTAGCTAATGTGAATTGTGAGGTTTCCTTGAAGAACAAATACTTCCCGATAGCATGCCCAGATCCAACAAAGCAATTAAGGTTTGAATTTTATGTGTGTTAATGATTACAAAGGATAGGAATCTAGCTCATCTTTATTGTGGTCCTAATGTCTAAATTTCTTTTATCATTGAAGTATCTTAACTAATAATTCACCACAGCCTTCAAGACTTGAAAATAAAGACCTTGGAAAAACCACCACAGAGTTGTTTAAGGAAAATTATTATCAGAATTGCAGGATATCACAGATAAATGCATTTATATTTACTGTAGAAGAAAACTGCATGCACACTTTCAAGAATGCTTTGAATTCAGCTAAATCTGGTAACAAAATGTTACCTAAAATGAATGTCAATATTCCTTTGATCTCAACTACTGAGTCAAGTAATCCCTTAGGGAAGAGACTGAAGTTTAATGCTTATAAATAAATAATTCAAGGGATCTGAGCTTTGAAGAGGATGAGTTTTTTATTGTCTTGACTAGTGCTTCTAGCTTTTTAGTAAGACTTTTTCCATTCTCCACATTCTCTTTATGCCTGATACACAATCTAATGCTTGGGAACATTTTCAAAGCTTTGGTAGTTTTAAATTTCTTGTAAATCTGATAATCAAACTTCATTTATGCTGATTTCTTAGGGAACAAAAGAAATTCCATCCGGGTTCAAGCACAACAGTAAAAATTAGCTATGTAACAGTCTTTTTTGTCACAATATTAGACTTTGCATATTATTTACAAATTATATATCTTCCAAAAAGAATGGCACCTTTATTCCCTCTTTCTACCCCCTTTCCCACAAAAAAGAAGATGTTAGCTAAACATCCAGATTTTCATACATCACAAAAAATGAGGCACAGGAGCTAAAATTCTAATTAAGCTAAAAAAAAAAAAGAGTATATAAATACTTTGATGTTGAGTTTACATTAACGCTGTCATATTCTGGATCTGACTGAACACAATTTTGTGTAAGCAGTAACGTTAGTGTTGTCTCCTCCTGATTAATATAGAGTTTTAAAACTTAAAAAAATAAAGCTATTTATTAAGTAGACTCAAAATGAGAGGTGGGGTGGGAAGGAAAAGCAGGAGTTGAGGACACAAGTGTCTAGGTTGACTCGCAGTTTCCTTTCTGACAGTTTTTTAAAAAACGGAATTCCTTCTCTACTTTGTGTTGCCTGAGAACCACTATGGTTTTGTAAAGTCTGTAACAGCAATTACATTTAATCACCCACAAGTACATTTGTTTTAAGCCTATAAATACTATGTTAGTAATACTAAACTATCTCCATTGGCTTATTTGTAAAAAGAAAAATATATTATATATTTATATTTTTATCAAGTTCACACTGAGGGCAGAGGAAAGGGGAATGAGAAGTAGTGTATCATCACACTTTCTCTGGACACAGCAACCAAACTGGGATTGTGCTCGAGCCACCTGGTCAAGCAGTATCTGAGGAAGAGTCATAGGAGGCGGAGACGATGAAATTGCTGCTGTTGGAGTGCCCAGCCACTGACTGGGCGGCCTGCTGGCTCAGATTGTTACAGATAAGCACGAGCTGGTTGCTCTGGGCCTCGGACAAGGTGCTGCAGCTCTGATATACACTGAAGTTGGTTTTCCTGCCAGGGATGTTGCCCTTCTCACACATGGTCTTCACCATCTTGGCCAGCTTGTTCTTGCCGAGGGCCTGGCAGTTGTACCAATGCAGAGCCGCCAAGTTCACGACTGGCTTGATGGACAGGTAGAAAGGGGCATCCTCGTAGCGCATGGCAGGAGGCCGCCGCTGGGCATACTCCTTATAGTCCTGTACGGGGCAGGTCTGCGGGGCATGCTGGGTGGCGTACACACGGGAGTCTGTTCCCCCTCTCTTGGTTTTGGCATTCAGGTCACCAGTGTCTTGACCCATCCACTCCAAGTATTCCAGCCCTGTTTCTGTTACCCGGAGCCGGATATCACCCCACTTCAAGGTAGATCCGTGGAAGCCTGTGCAGTGCCCAAAAGCTTTTGTGTTGTTGAGCCAGACGAGGTTGAGCAGACCCTCAGGGTTATAGCGGCTGAGCAGGCCCCTCTTCCGCAGAATGAGCTCATCAGCGAAGGTGAGCTTCATGGACTTGTGGGGCTTATTTCCTTTTCCTTTGCAGCGGAGTTCAATTTGCTTCTGTTTCAGGGCCTCTTGGGAACGCTTGAATTCCTTATCCCTAGTGATACTGTAGCCATACCTGTGTTCTTTTAGGTACCGTTCAAGTCCACACTGGTAATTGGCCAAGCTGTTGGGTTCATATTCGGACCCATCCTTCTGCCTGGCATCCACAAAGAAAGAGGCCAGGTAGGCATCCAACTCCTTGCAAGGGATGACATAAATCTCTCTGGTTTCAGAAGGGTACTTGGAGATGAGGAACTCACGGAAATTGCGGAGCGCGGTCTGCGTGCTCCGGATGGTTTTCTCATTCTGCTCCCTGCTGAGCTCAGCTGCTCTTTCATCCTGGTCTGCAACAAATTGGGGAGGGGAGGGATAGAGAGGGTGTTGATGAGTTCAGACAATGTACGTTCTACTCTGAAATAAAGTTTCCTTTAATAATGAAAAGGGAAAGAAGGAATCACTTTTACAGAGATCACTAATGAGTGTTATTTACATATCTGTTGCATTATAATAGCCACCTTCAGTTTCACAAATGATGTACTAGACAAGAGTACGGCCCACTACAATCAAAATGAGTTTCTCTTGTCATTGGCACATAGTTTAGTGCATGAAGGTTTGTGGAAAGAGTGAGATTAGAGGCAGTCTTCATTTTAGGAAAAATCTGAGACAGAAATGTACTGTTTATCCTACTGTAGTGTGCAAGGGCCCCATTAGAGCTGACAGACTCATTTTGAGTCACTTCATTTGTGAAACCAGAGGTTGTAGTGGTTCCGTTTTACTGAGTTAAGCTAAAATATTTGAATTTGTTATTTAGCATGTCACTAGAGATCTATATTTAAAAATTACTAAATAGATCATTTACAGCAGTTAATTCGACACATTCTACTGCAATTCAAGTGAACACAGTTTATTAATATTTTGTTTGTAATTGCTGGGCAGTTTGTAATAAGAATATTTGGTGTTCTGGAAAGTAATGAGGATAAAACTTCACAGCTATAAAGAAAGAACAATAAAGTTTGAATCAGGCTATTATAATCAAGATGTAAGGAAGGGGGTATGTGTCCTGGATAAATCGTTTCATTTTATTAATTTATTATTTATACTCTGCCACCAAAGACTGCAGGTGCCTCTTGCCATTATGGATCATCCATGAGATTAAGTAATGCTCTGGAGTAGCAGTTCTCACACTTTGGTGTGCTTCAGAATCATTCAGGATGCTCGATCAAAATCAGGCTTGCCATCTAGGAATCTGCATTTTAACTAGCACCTTAATGCTCAGGATGAGGTTCGAGAGAACAAACTTTGAGAAACAAAATTCTAGTGCTTATATCTTATGAAGGAAGCCCTACTCTGTTTTACTCAATTTTTTTTTTTACAATGATTAAGTTCAATGATATTTAAATGATTTCCTCTCAGTAATATGTAATTTAAATTTGGGATATTTACATTAACAATAAAGACATTTTGTCAAAATCACCACTATTATGTCAGACATGGTCTGTGTGGAACTCAAAAGAGAAATCCTAAAAATGAAATCACACAACAGAAAACCAGGCTACACTATTGAGGCAAACATCAAGGTTAATTTAAAATAACATAAAAATATAATTTTTGATTCTAAAGTATATGGTAAAAATATTTTGTTTATCCTAATTATCTTATTTAGGAAAACTTTAGATTAATTTGTAAGGTTGCTAAGTGGATGTCTTTAACTACATACAATGATAAAAATAAAATTTCTAATAACGTGAACTTTACTCACAAAACACACTACTTTTTGTATTACTCTACACATTTATGAATGATCATGTTATTTTAAAATGAAGTTCTAAGGTATAATTGCCAAAATCCTCAAACTTTATAAAATGAAAGGAACTAAAATTCACTGAACTAGCTAGATATTTTATAAGCACATTTTTTTTCTTTTTGAGGAGATCAGCCCTGTGCTAACATCTGCCAATCCTCCTCTTTTTTTTGCTGAGGAAGACTGGCCCTGGGCTAACACCCATGCCCATCTTCCTCCACTTTATATGGGACACCGCCACAGCATGGCTTGCCAAGCAGTGCGTCGGTGTGCGCCCGGGATCCGAACCGGCGAACCCCGGACCACTGCATCGGAGCACGCACGCACTTAACCACTTTGCACCACCAGGCCGGACCCTATAAGCACATTTTTGAGATCATATTTTCAAAATTCAAATATACAAAAGTATATTTTATGCTTCATTAGACAACTTTTGCCTAAGGGGCCAGCACATCTGTTTACTTTGGCTACTTGTTCAAATATCTATCCCACTGGTTTTCAAACTTTAAACAAAAACTTTCTAAGAAATAAACAACTTTAGGGAACAAATTTCCAGTTTCTCAACTTTCACATGGAATCTTTTCTAAAACATACTTGTCTGAGATGAAGACTGAGTTTGCACACGTTGCCATCCCAAGTCTACTGTGTTACATACTCTAGGGAGTAAAAGACTTTGAGGAGCCAAATACAATTTATAAATTGATGATTAAATCCACACTGTTTCCTGTCTCCTCTGTCTTAACACATATTCTGATATAGGTGAAATTTGCCATTAGAAACAGGGTATTTGGGCCTGAATTAGAGTAATCTGAATTCAGGATTTCTGAAAAAGTTAATAGGTTAACGAGGGTGATTCTTTTAACTAGAACTAGAATATTCTGCAGGACTACTGAAATGTTCACGATAAAGCAGAAGCTTAAAATTTTATTCAATTCTTTCAGATTCAGCATGCTTTTGTTCACAAGATGCTTAATAACTATTATCAAATCCTATGAAATACTGATTCTAGTTACAGTCAATCCTCACCTTCATTTTATAATATATTCAATATTTTCTACCTCCTTTTTACAAAAATAAACTGATTGAAATAAACTGATGTTGAAAACCTTTGGGCGTCAATCTAAAAATGAGTGGCATACAGTTTTTTCAAAGTTCTTTTAAGAGGTACACCAGTAAGTTTAAGTCTGTTGGACTTAAGCAGCATTAGTCAGTATTCTGTAAGCAGAACCGGTGAAGAAGATTATGGAAGGGTCTGGAGTGCTGGCGTGTCATTCATCTGTGAGTCAGTTTCCCGAGTGACGCAGCCAGCTCTCCCACTCCTGCATCTCCTCCATCCACATTTTTAGCACCATGCTAACATGCTCACAGTTGACCAACACATTAGTACTGCTTCAACATCCTCAGCCCAGCCTTGTTTTCAAGCCTTTCTCTCCTTTCTGCTTGACCTCAATCTTAGTTAAGAGCCTGTGATGTATAATAAGAAATATATATTTGGTTTTTGTCCAGGTCACTGGCACAGAGCTCCTAAAACCTTGGAATTTCCTGTGATGAGAGCAATAAAGGTGTTTTTTGTTATATGTTAATGAGGTGCCTTTCGGAAAGCACCTAGGGATGGGGGCTGATTGCCAGTGAAGCCAACCATGTGATTACAGCGTTGGAACTTTCAGTCCCACTCCCTTCCTCTACCTCCAGGGAGGGGCGAGGGGTGGCAAATTGAGTTCAGTCACCAATGGCCAATGAGTTAATCAATCGTGTCTATGTAATGAAGCCTCCAGAAAAACCCAAAAGGACAAGGTTCAGAGAGCTTCCAGGTTGGTGAACACATGGAGATTTGGGGATAGTGGCTTGCTCAGAGAGGGCATGGAAGCTCCGTGCCTTTCCCCATACTTTGCCCTATGCATTTCTTCTATCTGCCACTTCTTGAGTTATATCCTTTTATAATAAACCGGTAATCTAGTAAGTAAAATGTTTCTCTGAGTTCTGTGAGCCGCTCTAGCAAATTAATCCAAGGAGGGGGTTGTTGAAACCTCCAATCTGTAGTCAGTTGGTCAGAAGCACAGGTGTTAACCAGGACTTGCAATTGAGATCTCAAGTAGGGGTGGGGGGACAGTCTTTTAGGACTTAACTCTCAACCTGTGGAATCTAATGCTATCTCCTGGTAGACAGTCTTAGAATTGAGTTGAACTGCAAGACACTCAGTTAGTGTCGGAGAATTTCTTGGTGGTGTGGAACCCCACTCCCCAACATTGGAATTGAGTGTAGAACTGTAAAGCCATCCCATCTGCAGAAAATAAAACTGAAGAAAAATGTCACATTATCACATCCTTTCTTAAGAGCCTGGAATGTGCTACAAAAGGAGGTGGGAAGGGTAGAGAAACTCTCATTCATTTTGCATGAACAGGGGAAGTAAATGGCTTTAAAGTCAAGTAATAGTAGTAAGATTTTCAGCTAATTACAATCAAGTAAAACCAGAGAAGATTGATAACATATAACTGTTACAATTATCTTGCATTTACCTCTAGTTTTAGCAATTTTTATGATCTACTTCCTTTTAAAAACTTTTTGTTAGGTATAACATACACACAATAAAGTAGACTGGATTTTAAGTGCATACAATTAATTTTCACAAATTGAATATAGTGCTCAGATCAAGAAAAAAACATCACTAGCACCCCAGAAGCCTTCTTCAAGCCCCCTGTTCCAGTTATTCCCTCCCACCAAGAATAACACCTATCCTAACTTGAAACAGCATAGATTTGTTTGGCCTGTTATTATAACTTATACAAATAAAATTACAGAGGATGAACTTTTTTTGTCTGGCTTCTTTTGCTCAATATTATGTTTGTAAATTTCATGCATATTGTTGTGTAGTTGTAGATAATTTATCCTCATGGCTGTGTAACATTCCATTGTGTGAATATATCACAATTTATTTTTCCATTCTCTTGGACATTTGGGTAGTTTTCCGTTTGGGGCTATTTCCAATAAAACTGTTAAGAACATTCTAGTAGGTGACTTTTGATGATCATGTGGATGGACACATTTCTGTTGGGTGTATACTTGGGTCATAGTAAATCATATGTTCAGCTTTAATAGATACTAACAACCAATTTTCCCAAGTGGTTGTTACTTTCTCCACCATGAGTGTGAGAGTTCTGGTTGCTCCGTATCTTCTCCAACACTAAGGTAGTCTTCTTTATTTTAGCCATTTTGGTGAGTGTGTAATGATACTGCATTGTGGTTTTAAATTTTCATTTCCCTGATGACTAATGAAGCTGAACACCCCTTCATATGTTCATTGGCCATCTGGATATTCTCTTTTGTTAAGTGCCCATTAAAGTCATTTTCTAACGGATTGTCTGCCCTCTTCTTACTGTTTGTAGGAGGTTTTAACATATTCTGTATATGAGTCTTTGCAGGTAAATGTATTGCAAATATCTTCTCCCAGTCTATGGCTTGCCCTTTCACTTTCTTAATGGTGTCTTTTAATGAACAAGAGTTCTTAATCCTAATATAGTCCAATTATCAATTTTTTTCCTTTAT